CTCCCATTTATGTTCTAGGTCCAAGAACTTCTTTTTTTTTTAAGTTTACTTCTTCTATGAGAGAGAGAGAAAAAGAGAGAGCACCCTAATAGGATCTTTCTTTTTTTTTCTTTTTTAAAAGAGTTAGCCATAGGGCATGTATGCCAGAGAGAGACAGAGAGAGGCAAAGTCAGAGATCACCCCCCACCCCCGCCCTGGGGAGATGGCCATACCACAATCCCGTTTCCTCCCTTCTCCTCTCAGGATTTTTGAGTATGCATACACACATGCCTGACATAATTTGCAAGCAAATGAGTTTGAGACTTGAACCACGGTCGGTCATGTGGGAATCCAGTACCTTAACCACCACACCATCTGCTGGCCCCATGGCCCTTCTCTGTTAAACACTTTGGGTTTCCAGCAGGACATGGAGCCTGGACCCAGGCTATTTCCTCAATTTTTGTCGTGATTAATCTGCATGATTACAACTCCCGGAAATTTCTGATCAGAGTTCCCTGTGATCTCTGCCTTCCGACTTTTTATCTTCCTGCAAACTGGGGTGGGGTGGGTAATGCACATTTCTTTGGAACCCCTCAACGATGCAGACCATCACCCATTGATTCAAGCAAGCTTCCACAGAGTTAAGACCTTTTTTTCTTATAGATTTTTTTTTTGGCCATGTGCTCATCGTAGTTGGAAAGACAAAGGGATATAGAGAGAGGAAAACTGACAAATCACCCCCTAATGGGGGAGGATGGTCACGCCATAATCCCTCTCTAGTCTGCTCTTGGGATTTGGGGCACACATGCACATGTGCCTGATGTGACTTTTAAACTACCAGATCTGGAACTCAGGTCACAGTTTGTGATGTGGGAGTCCAGTGCTTTAACCACCATGCCACTGCTGGCCCCAAGATCTTTGTTTTGACCCTATCAGTTTCTATTTTGTTCACCCCATTTCTTTCTTTTCTTTTCTTTTTTTTTTTTTTTTTTTGGAGAGGTCTTTGCTATAGAACATGTGCACTTGCCGGAAAGACAGAGAGAGACAGAGCGACAGAATGTGAGAAATCATCCTCCAGGGGGGATGGCCATGCCACAATCTCTTCTCCTCCTTTCTCCTCTCAGGATCTTGGGCATGCACGCACAGATACCCATCATGAGGTTAAGCCACCAGATCTGGGACTTGAACCATGGTCGACTACATGGGAGTTCAGCGACATAACCATTACGCCAACTGCTGATCCCATAACCCATTTCTTAATAACCATCTTGCCAACCTAAAGAAGGCTGAGGCATAGTAAGTGAAATAGCAGTGGAATATTTGAGCCAGAGTTTCAGATGGGTGGCAAGTACTCTAGGCTGCCTGGAAATGCACACGTTTACAAGATGAGAAGAGGAGGGACCAGCAGGTGGCATGGTGGTTGGGGGGCTCTGGATTCACACATGGCTGACCATAGTTCGAGTCCCGGACCTAGAGGCTTGCTTTCTTGCTTTCCCTTTCTCTCTCTATCTCTGTCTAGTCAAAGTTTTAAAAATAATAACAAATGGAATTAAATAATTCTTAAAAAAAAAAAAAAAGATGAGAAGAGGGGAGGTCACGAGTTGTCAGGTTACCCCAGTCTGCTTAAAAAGCAAAGGGTGAATAATGGAACCCAACAGCTCCGTCGGCCACAGTCTGCCCAAGTAAGAAGGGCTAGAAGAGGAGTGCTCTCACACGGACAGTGTGTAATTACCATGAGCGGAGGAAATGATGACATGGAAGCACTTCCTTTACTGTCAAGAATGTGAACAATACACTTGGGTTTAACCATTTTTGGGATGTCAACAGCAAGTTCCAAATTCCTACATAATACCAAGTATATTCAGTTTTAAAATGTAAAACAAAATATGTAAGTTACTGCTATTTACATATGTAGTAAGACAAATTATGCCTAGACTTGATTTATTCTGAGGTTAGGAACGTCTCCTACAGGAGGGGACTAGGAGTAGGGCAGAGAGTGCAGGGGCAGGTCCAGCCGTGTCTGTAAAGTTCGGTGTACCGTTTTATTGCAGAGTTGCGTTTTACACATAGCCGCCATACACCTTGTGGGGGACGATATGGTTTTTCAGAGCATGTGTGCAGCGTGTGATCACCCAATCAGGGATATTACCACATTCATCCTCTTCGCAAAGAACATCGCGTGTCCTGCACCTTCGGTTTTCGCTCTGCTTGGTTTTTTATTGTTGCTGAGATGTACATGCATCAGATTAACAGTACTTTTCCTTTTTTACTGTTGCGGTAAACTGTTCTATAACCTATTTGTCTCGTTTACATACATTTCTGTTTCTGTAAACATTTTTCATTTAACCCCAACTGAAACTGGAATGTTTAAAATAAAGTCACAGGATAAGGTTTCCCATTTACAACAAATAAAAACATAACTAACTGGAAGCATGGAACAGAACTTGGGATTTGGTTAACTCGGAGGAAGTCTTTCAATTAGAAAAAAAATATTTTGCAATTCAAAGGTGAAGTTTTACACGATTTAAGACTTTTTACAGAGTTTTCTAGTTTGATATGATTTAAACCTTGTCTTAATTCCATGTCTCTCAGCGGTGACTTTACCAAAATAGCCAGAGCCAACCACAGCCAGGAAGCGATCGAGAGGGAGGAAAAAACGAAGAGTCACACTCAGCAGCGTGAGGGAGTCAGATACGAGGCAGGAGAAAGGCGAAAGGACCGAGCGCTGCGTTTCCAGGGACTGGTGATGCTGGAAGTCCTTTCTAAGGAAGCAGAACGAGGCCGTAGCTGTTGAGTTATCTGCTTCTAACAGGGCACAGGTACACCTCCCCGTGTTAGAACACGCAGCCCCGGGGCCATGGAATAACTGATACTTCCCTGGGAGCTCCAGGAAGTACCAGACCACCTGCAGGAGGGCTGCTGAGGGGTTTGTCAGCGCCTGGAACTTTTGGCCAGTGTGAAAGCCAACAGCTTCCGTGAAAATGGACTATTGAACAGAAGTTATCTAACCAATTGAGTGGAAATCCTCAGAATGACAAACTACATTACTGGAGGTTAAAAACAATGCTTGGAAAATAGTCCAAGATTATTTCATTCACTATACGGACCTATCCATTACATTCACTCACCCGAAGTTAAAACACACCAGTGCACACAGAGTCATGCATTGCAAAGGGAATGTTCTCTCAAAGACACAGACTGTGCTTCCTGGAGACTCGCCTTGCTCTAGGGGACTCCAGGCTGCAGCGCCAGCTGATGCCTCAGTAGCCACCTAGAACTGCAATGAGCTCTTCCCAGCAGCCCTCCAGGCTCCCCCACAGCCTCAGCTCAGCTCCCTCCTCGCTTCCTGGGGCCTTTCTGGGCAGGGGTTTGGTGAGGTCACTGCCCCAGTGACAACAGGAATTAGGGAGGACAACCAAATTAGTGGCTGTTTCACTCCAGGTGGAGAAGGAGGGCAGAGAGCAGAGGCTCTAGCAGGCAGGAAGGTGCCCAGGAGTCATGAGCAGGGACACAGCTGTCCCTGCACTTGCAGGCTGACAGCACTACCCCCCCCCCCACCTATCACCCTAAAACCTGCCTGGGTCAAAGTTCCCACTTACCAGACCCTCTGCCATTCCCAGTGCAAGGGGACCCCACGCCTTGACCAGAGGGCGCTCCTGATCTGGGCCCTGTGCTGGGCACAGGAACAGCCTTCCCAGTGGGAGGACGTCCCAGACAGCACCTGGAGGCGACTGCTGCCCAGGGTGCTTCACTGCCTTCCCCAGGCAGGGCCTGTCCCAGCTGCACAGCCCCCAGCAGAGTTCCAGAGCTGGGCTGAGGGAATCAGCCGTCCCTGTTTCCACCCCACCTGCGACCTGTGTGGCCTTGGTGAAGTGACTCTGCTCCAGAGACAGAGACTGTTCTGACATCTGCAAAATAGGGAAGATAGTCGTTTTTCCTGATTGTGTTGTTGGAGGGATAAAAACCCTGCCTAGTGATTGACAGCAGCAGCCAGACGTGCTACCGGCCTTGTCAGTGACCTGTCGAAAGCTCTGTGCCTCTAAATCCTCAGGTTACTACCAAAGCTCTTGAAGACCCACAACCTTTAGTTAGACTGTTTTGCCACTTCCATTCCCACGGTTGCTTAGGTGATTCCTGTCTACCTCCATACTCTCGGCATCACATTTTATAGACATGTTGTTATTTTTTGCACTGGTTTCAGATAAGTACTTTATAACTTTAAGATTCGGTATGACCTACTTAGGAAACGTGTGATTTAAAGACCCCATGCGTCGTATCTGCTCTTCCCTGTAGGACACTGGGGTGATGCAAAGCTTTGCTCCGTCTGGGTTTTCTCCTAGGGCGGGGAGCATGACGTGCACTTGCTGACTGAGAGGGCTGAGCTGCAGCTGGGACGACTGCGAACACACATCACAGGGACAGTAAACACAGGGACGTGCACAGCCCGCACAGAACACAGCCACAGAGGAGCACGGCACACGGGGGATCCTTAATCACACACGTACGGGTCCTTGGTCCTTGGAGGGACCGGGACGGTGGAGGGAGGTGCTACCGCAGCCTGTGGCCTCTGGTCTTGATTCTTGGTCTCTGCAGCCTCTGGGGCCACCCAGGGGCCTCTCTGGAAGCCTCAGCAGCTGAGGTCTCAGAGGCCTCACAGACGGCCACCATCGAGGTCCCAGCAGATCCTACAGGGATTCCCTTAAGGTAGAGAGGCTGCCTCTTTCCAGGAAAGCAGAAAATGCCTTTTACAACCCAGAAACGAGGAGGCATTTTTATTTTTATTGCACAGGTGGCCATCTGGTGAGTCAGAGACTCCGGGCTCTCAGGCCAGCCGGTATCTCAAGTGACAGGAGAGTCAAAGCCCACAGGCCACCAAGGACACAATCGCTCCTGGCTTCTGTGGCTTGTGCCAGAGGAGGAGGAGAGGTGGGGCAGGAAGGGGCGGGAGGCAGGGAGTCCCGGATCCTGGTACAATTCTGTTCTGGTCCAGAGCCACTGTAAAGGCAGCTGCGTGTCCTTTACAAAAAACCACAGCGAATGCACGGCAGGTGAAGTCTTTCTGTAGGGAGCTTGATGTTCACAATCAGGATCCTGTGGAGGTTCAAGGAAATGACCAGAAGGACAGATCTCTGAAAATGAGGAAACAGATTGAAAATAACAGTCTTTTTCTTTTAAAAAAAAAAAAAAAAAAATGAGTAATTTCTCATCAAAAGTTTGTGAAGTTTTTGCACCATTCTGACATCACTTCACAGGCAAGGTCATGGTGTCGGTGCCACCTAGCAGCCAGCAGGGGACTGTCACACACCCTGGAGCACATTGACTGGCATCATATCTGTCCTGGGGGAACGGAATCCTCAGGAGAATGCTCTCCCTGCTGTCACCGCACACTCACGCCTGTCTCCTAGAGCGGCAGGCTCCTCATTCCTGAAAGCTTAATACATGTTTGTGACTTTTTTGTAAGAGGTTTTTGCCTTAGGATGCATATGCTCGCCAGAGACACAGCACAGTAAGAGGGAAAGTGAGAGGTCACCCCCCAGGGGGATGGCCACGCCACAGTCCCTTCTCCTTCCTTCTCCTCCTGGAATCTTGGGCATGCATGCACAGGCACCCAGCACGATTTTCAAGTCACCAGATGTAGGACTTGAACTACAGTTGGCCATGTGGGAATCCAGCAATGCAACTGCTCCGCCATCTGCTGACTCCATGTTTGTGATTTCAAACATGGCTATATAAAGAAAAACCGTGCTTTCTATACTTCCATTTTCCTCTACTGCTGCAGTTCCTTCAAAAATATCTTGACTGGGACCAGCTGTTAGCATAATGGCTCTGTCGCTGAACTCCCATGTAGTCAACTATGGTTTGAGTCCCGGACCTGGTGGCTTAAACTTACACTGGGCGCGTGTGCATGCGTGCCCAAGATCCCTAGAGGAGAGTGGAGGAGAAGGGACTGCGGCATGGCCATCCCCCCTGGAGGGGTGATTTCTC